TTTTACACTTTGAATTTCTGATTTTTATCCATTGGTCGAAACACTGTGGGTCGGTGTTACATTTTATTTTTAATTATTTTGTAATTTCATTTTGTAACTTTTCAGCGAAATGAAAAATTTGAGAAATATTGATGTGCAAAGCACTTATCAAGGAGACTACATACCTGTCCCCCGAGGATTTTGATAAAATTTGAAGGGATGAATTTAGAAGTCGAAAAATGACATTCTGTAAAATATTTCGTTTCAACGCGCATTTTTTATAAACAATTGAAATTACTTGTATAAAACTTTGGAGATTTAAGTGATGTTCAACAATCACAGTGCAATATCGCAGGCACTTGCTCGTATGATTTCAGTAAATATGATACCTATTTCATTTTGTAATAGTAATGGATTCAAAGAGTTTATAGCTGTATTGGAACCAGGATATCAGTGTCCTTGCCCGAAAAGTATTTTGAAACGATTACAAAATATGTATAATGAAAAACGAAGAAGAATTGAAAAAGAACTTTCGGGGGCACCTAATAGAGCGCCCACTAATGACGGATGGTCCTCGAGATCTCAAGATTCGTATATTTCTACAACGGTACATTTTATTAATGAAAAATGGGTCCTACAGAATTACACACTTTGTACACAGTTTATGGAAGACCGCCATTCGGGGGAAAATTAAGCCATCATGTTTAACATGCTTAATGAAGACTGGAATATTACTGATAAAGTAATTGCGATGGTTCATGGTAACGCATATAATATAAGTATGGCTGCCAATTTGTCTGACAACGTACAATACAGCATTTCTTGTGCCGCACATAATATACAATTGAAAGATGCTCTAGACGCAGTAGATATAATCAATGAAGTTATACATAAGGGCAGTAAAATTGTTCAATATTTTAATCATTCTAACGTTGCTACGATTGCTTTCATCGAAAAAGAGAAGCAGTTAAATCTAAACAGACGAAAATTAATTCAAAGTTGCCCCACAAGCTGGGGTTCTTATTATTATATGTGCGAGAGACTAATATACAACAGAACTGCAATTATGTCTGTTTTAACAGACAGGACGATTACGAAATTAAATATTGCGGCAAAACTTGATATGTCAGAACATCATTGGGCAATAATAAATGATATAATTACGGTCTTAAAACCCTTGGATGAAGTAACTACAACATTATGTTCTTTAGTACTTCCCATCATTCATAGTATTATTAATAATCATCTCAAAACTAATGACGTAGGCAGATCTGAAACGGAACAATTTAAAAGTGTTTTGGTGACATCCCTTACAAATAGGTATAGTGCGTGATCTTCGCGTCTTAGGTTGTGTGGGGTTCGGGCCGACTACACTTAAATATCGCAACCTCACGAGAACACTGTGCCACTATTATCGGAGCTACCGCACTCGTCTGCAGCGTTAAACGTCTGTTTTCGAGTTTGTCCTTGTCACTCGGTCACTATCGCACGTTCACCAAAAGGGCGCGGAAACGTTAACTGGGTAGACGGATCTAAACGTTGCCTCGTGGTCCGGATTTGTCCACGCCAGGGAGCAAAGTCGGAACCAGGCAGGATTTTTGTCCGTTCGATGTCCACACAAGGGAGCGTCTTGGAGCAAGTATCCGTCTTTGTCCATCAAAATCGTAGATCGGCCCTCTTTTTATCCTTGCTGGGGGTCCCCTGGGGCAGCGAGACTGATGGAGTGGGGGAGTGAGATAGTGGGGGAGTCTATAAGGGATGGTGACGAGGGAAGGGACGAGGGCGCTACTCTGGTGGCCGCTCGGAGCACTACCCTCTTTACGGGGTGCGCTACAGTTTAAGTTAAATTCAAATATCGAAACTGTCCATGGTCTTGCTTCATTTTTGGATCCAAGAAGCAAACAATTGTCATTCGAAAACAACGAAAAAAAGAATCTTATTACAGTAGTCATAAGTAATATAATAAAAAACATAGAAATAGCTGAAACTGTAGAAAATGCCGCCTTTGTAACAAGTACTACTCTAGATTTTATATTCCACAACTTACAAGGTCTTAGCGGTAGTAATTCAGAATTACAAATATATTTGCAAGATATTGAAATAAATCATAACATATGTCCATTAGAATGGTGGAAAACACGGGAACAAAAGTATCCAAGATTAGCAAAAATCGCTAAAAAATATTTATGCATTCCGGCAATATCTGCCAGCTCTGAAAGAGTATTTTCTACTGCTGGAAATATTGGTAGTTCAAAGCCGACGAGCTTGTTATCAGAAAATGTAGATTTGTTAGTATTTTTGTATAAAAATAAAGACATCTAATTTGAAACAATTAATTACTTCATTGTATATGAGTAGAGTACTCGAGTAAAACATACCGAGTATCTAAGTACCCAAATAGTCGAGGAATAATAGATATCTACTCTCTGCTATCTCATCTCATAAGACACCCGGATAATTTCTGTTTACCCGGGTATCTCTTAAGTAACAGCTCTACTCTGTAAGTACACTCCTTTGCAACAAAAACTCTTCCAAAACCTCACCATGCACATCACTATCACGCCCTCTATTCTCACCCTTACTATACCACAACGCACTCACCACATTAGCATCCGCACCTATCAACACAGGTACACCACTCGTAAACCAGTCCATGTACTCTGTCGCGTAGCGACCTTTCAAATTAATATTCTTCAATTTTTCGTAGCAGTAAGGATTATTTAGCCCTCGAGGCGTATACCTGCCGCCTAACCCTCGAGATATACCAAATAAGTACATTTTTATTAGAAGGCCGTTAGCCGTTTCGTAGCGACAGTAACTTTATGATACCACGGCAATTGTAGTTCTTTTTGCCTTGCCTTTTATAAACTTGTTTTTTCGAGATAGAAGCTTCGTCCCTTTTTTTTCGGTAAATTTTCATACATATGGCCACCAGAGCCGAAGCGTTTCCTAAGGCTATTGTCTGCTACAATCATTGTTAGAGACATTCGGAATTTCCCCGTGCGTCACTCAAGGGTATGATCGGTACCTGAGAGTGACGAATGGTCTGGGGGGTGGCATTTTTGCTTAGTTTCTCCCCTTTAATTTTAACCAATAGGTAGTGTCAGCCACCCTTCCCCACCACTATCGAAACATGAATTCCACCTATCCGAGTGTCTCACCCCCGCGATGCGGTTTGTTCGGAGGCATCGACGGGATCTTTTTAAAAACGAAAAGTTAGTTAGACACAAGACATAGAAGCACGAACATTGAACGTTAAATAAATAGTACATTAGGTGTGATAGTCAAGAAAAATAAAATATAAGTTATACAGTCCACTAGAATTAAACTATTCGCACAAAGTTAATTCAGCGTGCGAAGTACGAGTTGCGCTGTTGTACGCAACAGACAGAACGTACGCGACATACTCAAATTAGGGCCCGATATCCGCACACACATACACCATATTCACTTGTACGCTCATTCACCAACATCGACTGCACACATTCATCATTCACTATAACACACGCTTTAACCACACTCTTATGTGAATTGAGAGACCCTTGATATCCCCATGTGCCACGTAAGGTTCTTGCAGGAACACCACACTTATTCCCTTCTCGCACAACATCACACCTAAATCATTCATTACCGCACTCGCTCTTTGACAGTTCAGCTGCAGAAACTTCAAGCATTCATCACATACACACATTCTCGCTCTTTCAAGCATACTCATATACTCTGGGCACTCTTTCGACACTACAGAATGGTTCCACACTCTCTTTTTCTCTTTACAATTTATACATTCTTCCTGCGCTCTACACACATTCATCTCATGCCCAGTCTCACCACACCTACATACTTACGTATCATATATCCATACCCATAGCACTTAGAACATCTCATCACGCAAGCAAACTCCCGCAGCTTATACGCACTCCATCTCACAAACACTATTCCTTCCTTCAGTATTCTACCACTCACGCATGCACTCATCTCCATCGCTAAATTCCCTTCTTGGCATCCTTCCTATTGTTCCTACTAATATTCTCACACGCTCTTTAAACTCATTCACACTCATACATTCAAGCAAATTCCTTTCATACAAATCATTCATTATCACCTCACTTTAAATTCCATCTCCTTAAACTTGCCACACTCTCTAATCATACTTCTTTCTCTTTCACTCACCGTTTCAATAGCTATACCCACATTTCTAGTCTTTCGCAACGCACTCACTCGCAGATTCAACAATCCACTCGCCTTGTTCAGCACCTTCTTTTTAATTTCCTCACTCATGGTTTCCACATTTTCATTCATCGGCTATATCACCACCGCACACGACTTCCGTGGCACTCTCATGCTCTCACGCACACCCGCGCCATCACGCTCACTCACACCATCATTCACGCTATTCACTTCTACATTGCGCTTCACTACATTCGCATACCATTCTGGTCCATTCATTCTGTCGCTCTTGCAACCTTCACTCCAATCTCTCGTTCTTCGCTATCAGTCTCATCACACATTCCTCATATTCCGACATCAATCCTAGTATTCCTTCACATGCAGCCTTTGATACTTTCAGACCACTCAACTCTCTATCCACGCCGCTTCGTACGCCATTTATACACCTCCCCCCATGGTTCATCATTTCCTTTCATACTCACCAGTCTTCTCCACACCCTCTCGCGAGGCTGATACAGGGAGATGGCCGCCGGTGGGGCAGGGGTCGAGGATATAAAGTCGGAGATAAAGTCACGATCTTAGCCACGCCGATTGTACATAATAAAGGCTAGCTACGTCGAAACCTTAAGGGGTCATTCTACTTTGACGGATGAAAATTTATGCTCTATCAAACAATTTTTGTCTAAGCTAATACAACATATAACGAAATAAAGCTTTTCGGTATTTATTAAACTGCTTTTACACAATATAAAAAATTTTTTAAATAATCTTTTTAATAGTTATAAATGTTTTTTTATTTACTAATGATGTTTGAAATAGGTTATCAATCGTTTTATTTTCGTGACAGTTCTGTTGTTCTACGTGTAGCAGCTAAAACACAGCCGTTAAAACATTAGCTGTTGTGCCGTTCATCTTGTGCCTCCAATTGTCGTGTCTTCGCAAAGTTCTGTTACCCTTATAAAAATGGAAAGTTACGAGATATTTAGTAGTGCATCTAATCATACTGATTATTCTGTTGGGGGAGACAGCGAAATTCATCTCGAATCACTATTACCTTGCGAAGAAGTAAGAAGTGACACATCGAGCGAAATTGGTGTAAGATGTGCCTGTTTACGCTATTTTTGAATGCGCCCCTTTTTTGTTTCGCTTTAATTAAAATTTCCTTTCAAATTGGCGACGAAGCCCAGGAAGCGTTTTATGGCCGTAGAGAAATAAAGTTTCTGCGGGCCACACACCTTCCTGGTGCCCACTCGTGAACAATCAATAGACATTGACATGTCATAAAACCTTTCGCGTCACTCTGGCCGCCCAAGTCCCGTTACGAGCGAGCTATCTGGGCCCCATTCCTCCGCCATCGCGACATACCACCGCCCTGCCAACTTGGAAATTCCAGGGTAGGCGGCATGCTCGCGGGCCATGGAGGACTGTCCAATTGGCGTAGACCATCACCTCCTACCCATCCACATTTTTTTATAAAATAAGCACACCAACGCGGCAGACGACACTAATATACAAGTAACTCACTTCGCTCACACACCACAGCAAATCACCACTCGCTACAAATAAAGTATTCATTTTGAAACATATTAAAAACAAGTGCACATTCGAAGTCCATCACTTCGTTTTCACACCACCAATCAAACCTCACCAGCGAACCAGCGACAATTCACCGCCACTACTCTCGAACATACAGCTTGTTCGAAGTACAAGACGCAACAATGTGTTTCTAAATCCTATCGAATCGAACACAGTAGCGATAGTGAAAATGACAAAAATAATACTACTAATCAGATGATACAGGAAGAATGGATACATCCGGTTGGGAAGCAACCCCAGATCGTACCTTTTGTGGGCAGAACTGGATTGTACTTTTTCGAAATTGATTGTAGTAAAATACAAAATTTTTTATTATTACTTGTAACTGAAGACTTGTTTCAAGAGATGTTGCAACCTGATGAGGACGCAACGAAGTCTCGGTTTGGCGGATTATAGTAATAAACGAATATAAAAGGAAAGCTGTGGCGTACTGGAACAGCGGTATGTCGAAGCGATTAAAATTAGACACCGTGCGTTCCAAATTCCGTCACGTGAAATCCGAAAGAATGCTTCGTAAGTGGGCTTTACAAGTTGAACAGGGTGGCACAAAAAAGGAAAAGGTAAAACGTATTGCAGAGTATACATTTAATAAATTTATGGAAGCTCGGCAGTTAAGAGTAATTGTGCATGAAGTAGATCTACGGCGATGGGCTTTACAAGAGAGAGATATAGAAAATTTACAAACATTTAAAGCCGGACATACTTGGCTAGATACTTTTAAAAAGACGTTTAGATTAGTGTCCAGAAAAATTACCAGATTTGTAACCACAAATGTGGTAAATCGAGAAGACGATATTCATTTGCAATGCAGCGCATTCGTGAATGAAGTAAAATTATATAGAGCCCGAAATGAACCACTCAATGTTTACAATTCCGATCAAAGTGGTTTTAATTTGGAATTACATTCAGGGCGCACTTTGGCTGAAGAAGGTATAAAAATCGTAGAAGGAGGGGTTCAATCAGTGTCATCCACCACTCATAGTTACACCATCCAGCCAACCATTTCAGCTGATGGACAATTACTGTCACCATTATTTATTGTACTCAAAGAGAGTACAGGACATTTCGGGCCGATTGTGGAACAACATTTATTTCGCCCTGACAATGTATATATTGCAGCTTCAAAGTCAGGAAAATTAACTACGGACCATTTCAAGACCTGGTTAAGAGAGATTTACTTCGCAAATACTGGGCCCACAACAGTTCTAATTCTTGATTCCTGGAATGGTCACTGAAAGAAGACACTGAACGAAGTTACTCCCGAGGGTAAAAATGTAAAACTTTTTATAATACCAAAAGGTGGAACAAAGTATGTTCAACCACTGGATGTTTACGGTTTCCGCACTTGGAAAAATTTCGTCCGCCGATTTTCCGATATAGTTCTCATTTTAAATCACGACATTAATCTCCACGCTAGGATTAATATAATCAAACTTCAATCTCTGGTCCACAATCAATTTTCATCGCCAAGGTTCCAAAATTTTATTAAATACTCCTGGTATAAATCCGGATATATAGATGAAAAACCAAATGCATTCCAGAATCCTGTTGAATACTGCTATTCTGTTGAAAATGAACCAAGATGCCATATTTGCGGTGACGTGGCAATAATTAAATGCGCATGGTGTAAGAAATCTTTATGTCTCAAACATTTTTTCGACGAGTACCACTATTGTCGAAACTACATAGAATAATTGCTATACACACTGTATGTACTTATAATTTATAAATCGCTCCACCTTTGCCACGATGTCATAGGTGAATAATAAAAACAATTAATCCTTTCATTGCTGTTAAGAAACTTGTTACTGTCATTGTTATTTGTTACTTGTTACTGTATAATTTAGTGCAAGCCAGAATGCTTCATTAAAATGAAAGTTAGAACGGCTACTACCATAGTGGATGTGTGCGCAATATGTAAATCATCAAAATCTGCAAAACTGTAAGAGGCAATTTTAAAATGTTATATACTAATGGATTTGGAATAAAATGCTTGTCATTTTTTGTCATTATGAAAATTTCAATAAAATGAAAAATTAACTTAATAAATTTTTTTTGTTATAAACAAACTGTATTTTGTTAAATTTTTTAACACCATGTTATTGTACGTCAGAAACCATTAACCTCGCCCATTAACAATTTTTTCGTATGACTTACCGTTTTCGAGATAGGCGTTTCGAGCCAAAATTTCAAGGGGTGGTTTCACCCCTTAAACTCGATTTACCGCAGCTAAAAAAAAATACGTGTCGATTATTTTTGACTGCTTTATAAGTGTACAAAGTTTGATCAAAATCGAAACCGGACCGATCGAGAACGTTCCTTGTAAGATGTTGGGGGCAAACACAGATAATTAAATATTTCGACGTGAAAAATAATTTCTAAAACTAAATGTGGACAATAGGTCCCAAAAACACTCGGGACCATAAAACATTCGTTACCGGGGATTGAATTTGTTTACAACAAATTCGGTTCCCCAAAAGGTCACAGTTTTCGTCGACCAATAGCCGGACACACCACATTTTCCACCTCCATAACACAACGACCGAACAGAACCCACCTGATCCCTATATATACATCTACACACCTCAAAACCGCACATTTACAGTACAACGAGTGCACGAGGAAAATCGTAAAAAAAAAGAATAACCGAATCTCAGCAAAACATCTATCAACGATCCGAAAGCAGATCGTCAAAAAAAAAGAAGGAATAACCGAATCTCACCTAAACATCTATCAACGATCCGAAAGCAAATAATTCATCAACATCTATTTCAACGAACCGAAAGAAAAACATCCAATAAAAAAAGGCATCTAACCCAACAACGAAGTTTCATTCCACCTCGAACCTGCGAGAACTATCAACAACCTGCGCCAGACTCCTGGTCATAAGACTTGATCAAGGTCTACGACGCAACAGGAGATATTGTTGCAAGATCAAGAAAAAGAACGCTAATCCTTCGAATTGAACAAATCGGCAGGATGGTTCGAATGCGGTGACAGTTGCGGGCGAAAATTTTTGCCGGAGCCCAACGGTTCGGGCAAAACTGTGTTTGCTCCCCGGTGTCTAATCTCAAACACACGCATTCGCGCACACAACTAGCCGAATGTTTAGGTTTGAGCCAGAGTTGGGCAGTAATTAATTCTTTTGTAATCGATTATTTAATGTAATAATAATAATTGTAATCATTAATCAGTCAATCATCGTTGAGATAAATCAGTAATAGTGATTACCTTCTGTAATTTGTAATCATTAATCAGTAATTTTTAAATCATTCAATGATTAATTATATTTTATACGAATCTGTAATGTACACTACCGGCCAAAAGTTTGGAATCACTTGCCGATTTCTATCAAAATTGAATATACCGGTAAATTTTGGAATGATTCGTCGTTAATATATCAGATGTTAACAAGTTGAATTACACTTTAAGAGATTTCAGCATTTTCTTGTGTCCATAATACTATTATATAATTCATACACTCAGTTTAAGGCAACGCTCGGAATGAACTTTTCTACTGCCAGGAAAGATTCTCTGTTTTCGCCTTATATAGGAATTCGCGATTTTTTTGTTTACCAATAAGTGTCGAATGTTACAATATTAGATTCCAATTGGCTGGTCCGGGGGCCGAGAAAATGTATAAATCGGACATTTGTTATAGATTGCCACCATTCTCGTGAACGAAGGCGTTGAAATGTGATTGGCAGCTAAAATTTTACATTAATATTTTAAAATGGCAAAAAGAATAGAAATTAGTATTGAAACTCGAAGTGCAATTATCACACTTAGAAAGGAAGGTTATTCTTTGCGGAACATTGCAAGGAAATTGAAAGTATCATACAAGGGCGTGCAGGGTACAATAAAACGTTTTGCGGATACTGATAGTTTGAAAGACAAACCACGGTCAGGAAGACCCAAAATCACGTCGAGAGCTGAAGATGTAAGAATAAATATTATTTGCAAACGAAACAGATGACTAACGGCCTCGGAAATTCGTGTAGGACTTAATGATAGTAGACCGAATACAATATGTTCCGTCCGATGCGGAACAATACGGCAAAAATCCTCGAAGGTTCGTTTACGACATGGACGTGCCTACAAATGTAATTCCGCGATTAGCCTTTTTCGAGTTTTAGTTTATTTTTTTTATCGCATGCAATTTCACCTTAAAAGTAATAAAATGTATTCAATCGTTTCGTGTTTTCAAACAATAGCTTAGAGTTTCGCTTTCGTTCGTTCAAACAATCGGTCATATCGTAAACCGGACTTTCACTTTCGTTCGTTCAAACAATCGGCCATATCGTAAACCGGGAACTTCCGAAGGGTCGAAATTCGTCGGAAATTCGGAAAAGGCCAATCAGCGTATTCGAAGCAACCTGAAGGTACCGACGCGAACACCGACAGGGCGAGTGCTAACAAGTACTTCGAGCTTCGAACATCGTCGAAGAAGCTACACTCACGAAAATCGAGAATTCGTTCGTCTCGAAACGCGCAAGATTATTCTAGTCTCAATCGTCCGGAGACTAGACTCGAAACACTCGATTTCTGAAGAAATTTGGAAATCGAAGCGTCGCGACCATCGACGAGACCAAAAGTTAAGCTGGGCCTTACAACCCCAGCCGAGGAATCTTAATCCGCGTTCGGTGATCGCGTACGGGCGAGCAATCTAGCGAGATTGCCAAGCTACGAAACATTTTATGGTCCTTCGAGTCGGATCAGTGACCTACGGATTATCAGTGCACAAGTGATCTGTGAACACAGTGATCTAACGAGTGCTAAAGTGATCGGGGGATCCGGCACAAGCACGCGACGGAGCAATCCAACGAAGCCACGCAGCAGGCAACCAGTCCAGCCAACTCAGTCGCAGCTTCCCAAATTCAAAACGACGGTGATCAACCACGTTCTCCGCATCAGTCAAGGTAAGCTCGTTAAGAATAACCGATCGTTTCTTTTCCTGCGATATCCTTGATCGTGATTCCCTCCGTCTCGACTTCACATCACCGACGAAATGGCGAACGCGTCAACGAGTGAATCTGGTGCAAGTCAAGCGCAATCCCTCCAGATGTCCAAGAACAAACGCCGCGTGTTCAAAGGGCAAATAACGTCTCTCGGCAACGCGCTTAAAGGGTATCAAGACTCCGCGAAAGAACGCGTAAAAATCCGCGAACGCGTCGAGAGGCTGCGAAAGCAATTCGACAATTTCAACACGATACAAGACGAATTGGGGCTCATCGAGGGCTTCGAGCAGTCCGAGGCAGAACGCGAAGCAGTTACCGAACTGTATGATAACGTCATCGCTACCGCCATCTCGCTGCTACAAGAGGTAGAGCAAGCCCCGACGCGGACGACAACGCTGAGAAACGCCGACTCACCCACGTTGTCGACATCATCAACCGCGATCGGTGTCCACCTACCAAAAATTGACTTACCGAAATTCGACGGCCGGCTCGAAAAATGGGTAGCGTTCAAGGATGCCTTCTCAACGATGATCCACGCGCATTCGGGATTATCGGACATACAGAAGTTACACTACCTCCGACTCTCACTATCAGGCAAGGCGGAATCCGCCATTGAGTCCTTTACCATCAGCGAGGACAATTACAAGGCAGCGTGGGATCAGCTGAACGAAACATACGACAACACGCGAGCGCTCGTCCTGCAACATGCCGCGTTGCTTCGCAACACGCCCACCATGACAGACGACACGGCCGAATCGATCCGCGATATGATCAACCATATGCAATCTCAAATCAGATCGCTGCAAGCGTTGGGAAGGTCGTGGGAAAACATAGCCAACGACCTTTTAGCCAGCATCGCCATCTCAAAAATGAGTCCAGGGACGAAGCGAGAGTGGGAGCAGACGCTGTCCGACACGACGATGCCAAAAATCGCCGATATTTTTCGGCACCTTCGTAACGCGTCCCATCGGTGCCGGACCGAGAACTCGCCGACGAACACTCCAGTCGCAATTAAGAATCGCGCTTCCGCGGCATCCGATACGCCGCCGCGGCAAACACCCACGAGAACCTCACCAGCATTTCCACGGAAATCACCGACACCTCCCTGGAAAGCGTCATCGCCACGGACGGCCAGGAGGCAAACCTTCGTTGCAGCATCCCAATCGAGCTGCAAAATTTGCAACACCGGTTCTCACCCGGCCTATCAATGCCAGAGATTTCTGGACATGGCGGTGAAAGACCGGCTCCAGGCTGCACGCAAAGCAAATCTTTGCATCAACTGCCTCCAAGGGGACCACGCCACCGACCAATGCAACGGAGGGACATGTCGTGTATGTCACGGACGTCATAACACGAAACTCCATCGAGACGCATCGCCCCGAGAAGAGGTCAGAAAGACTTGACTAAGATCGAAAAGCACCGGACGGCCAAAACCACGACGACAAGGCGTTTCCTTTGTCTCCGACGGGAAGACAAACGGACTATTGGCAACCGCAGTCGTGCAGGTATTAGACAACGATCGGAAACCCATTCAGTGTCGAACCTTGGTGGATACCTGTTCTAATGCCAACTTTATCACGGAGGATCTGGCAAAAAGGCTACGTTTGCCGTCGACCCGGGCATCCGTGGCAATCCAAGGCCTTAATGAGGTAAACACCATGGCATATAAAGCGGTATCCACAACCATTCAATCGAGGTTATCCAATTATCGACGGACACTCTCGTTCTTCACAATTCCAAGAATATCGGAACGAATACCGGATGTCCCACTCGATCGCTCCCAGTTGCGTATACCGGCCAACGTTCATCTGGCAGATCCAAGCTTCCACCAGCCAGGAGAAATAGATATGCTGATCGGCACCGGACCAGCACTGTCGTGCCTCAGTATCGGCCAAATCGACCTCTCCAACCGAAGTGGACGCGATTTGGTCTTACAGAAAACGCAACTGGGCTGGATCATCGGAGGAAACATCCCAACGACGGCCACCCGCGACACCCATAAGGCTTTCGTCACGAGCCTGGACTTCAACTTACAGAAGTTTTGGGAAGTTGAAGAGGGAGCCCAGGATCGGCACCTTTCGCCGGAAGAACGCGAGTGCGAGGAACATTTTGTGAAAAACGTGCGACGGGACAATTCCGGACGATACGTGGTTGCGTTACCCTTCAATGAAAGAAAGGGCGAATTAGGAGATTCTCGGTCGCGTGCCTTAACGCGCCTTCTTTCGATTGAACGAAAATTGGAACGCAACCCGGAATTGAAAAAACAATACACCGCGGTAATAAACGAGTACCGTACACTCGGGCACATAAGACAGGTAGAATCCCTCGACGCGCGTGGCTTTTACCTGCCTCACCACGCCGTAATAAAACCTTCGAGCGCCACGACGAAGGTCCGCGTTGTGTTTGATGGTTCGGCAAAAACCAGCAGCGGCGTGTCATTAAACGACGCATTAATGACTGGTCCTACCATTCAGGACGATTTGTTTACGCTTCTGCTGCGGTTTAGGACTTACGCATTCGTGATTACCGGGGACATCGAAAAAATGTACCGCCAGTTCCTCGTGCGACCGGAGGATCGAAAGTACCAACGCGTTTTATGGAGAGACGAACAAGGCATCGTGCAAACGTACGAGTCGAACGTCGTCACGTTCGGCTTCTCTTCGGCTCCATTTCTCGCGATTCGATGCGTGCACCAACTCGCGGACGATGAATGCAACGCGTACCCGGTAGCGGCGGCCATATTGAAACGAGATTTGTACGTGGACGACCTCCTCACGGGCGCCAACACAATGGAGGAGGCGAAACACGTGCAAACGCAAATCGGTGAGCTGCTTCAACGGGGTGGATTGACTATACGCCAATGGGCGTCAAACGAGCCCGCTCTCCTCAAGGGACTCAGCGAAGATCAAATCCACCCGAAGATCCTGGGCGACGACACGACGATGAAGGCGTTGGGAGTTTCCTGGGACGCCAGGAACGACGCGATTCGATACTCGGTCGAAATCCCAGTCAATGACAAGGTCAGCAAACGAACCATCTTGTCGACGATTGCCAAGATCTTCGACCCACAATATCTGTTACGTCATAACAAAGGACGAATACCATCATGCATCGCACTTGTAGTTTTCCTAGAAAATAATAATTCTCACCACTTAAATTCCTGCTCGTACATGCTCAATGAATATACATCTGCGTTGCAGATGTAAGTCCATCGACGTTCCAAAGGGGATATCGGGAACCAAGAATGCGTAAAATAAACCTTTTCAATGGCCTACTTCCAATCGTGGATGTAGGTCCCATCTATGTCACCAAGGATGCGCCGTCGGAGTTCTTACGCAAGGTACGTAAACCTTGACAAGGACTTCGACGGTCGTAATACGGCGCGAAAATAATAGAAGTCTTTGAAGCGTCGAACGGTCAAGTCTCGGCACTTGTGGCATGGCGCCGTTAGGGCTAAACTCTCGAGACACCAGTCAGGCCCTGCCATAAGGTATCGAGAAAACCGAGGACTTCGCGTTAGTCACGGAACTGCATGGTGGTAAGCGTGCCGCATCCCTCGTTTCTATCTCTGATGGGGTGGAGACAAAGTCGACCAATTAGGTCAAATTTTGTGCTTCACCCCCACCGGAGCCTCGAAGCGTAGAGAGGGAAATCGCGCTTCCCTCAAGAGGAATCGTCCTCCGAAAAGACAGAACATTTTTAACACTCGCCGTAAAAAGAACAATTTCAACACTCGTAGTATATAGACCAAAGTCAAAACTCGTACACCGAGGAAAAAACTCGATCGTTCTCGTACAGACTCGAGCAGCTTCCTTCTGAAGCTCGTGGTTTGCGAACTGATTAAGACGCCGGCCGATTAAGTTGCCCGGCGAAGAGGACGTTTCCCTCGTGGATCACCGAAAGTCGCACGAGTCAGGAAATTCCACCATCACGGCGTTACTCTGACACCCGAGTCGGAAAAAGGGCGCATCTCGCAACAATATCTCTAACCACGGTGAAAAGGCGACTAAGAGCTGCAGGTTTAAATGGCCGTATAGCAGTCAGGAAACCATTGCTTTCGTGGAAAAATCGTAAAATGCGGTTGGATTGGGCAAAAAGTCACAAAAATTGGACACCTACGGACTGGGGTAAGGTTCTTTGGACTGACGAATCCAAGTTCGAAATATTTGGGTCGCACCGAAGGATATTTGTTCGCCGATCTGTACATGAAAAAATGTTGCCAGAGTGTATTCTACCTAATGTCAAACATGGTGGTGGTTCAGTTATGGTCTGGGGATGTTTCTCAACGGTTGGAGTAGGAAACCTAATCAAAATAGAAAATACAATGAAAAAAGAAGACTGTTAACGCAGCTTCCCGCGCTTCTCGTGGGTTGGAAGGTCGGGTTGGCGTTGGTAAATTATTGCACGTGTATCTGCCAACTACTTATGATCGTGATTGTAATCGCGACTTTATTTGTGGTGTTGATTATTGCGGACTGGACCCCACTGGTGTATCAAAGTGTCAAATGTTGCGTGTTAGAACGCTCAAAACTGTTGTCGATTGTTTCTGAATGTATTAGAATCTGCCGTGTGCCGTGAAGTGGCTGTATATGTATACATATGTTCCTTTGCCAAAATGGGGAGTTTACCTAGTTGGCAAATCATGGGCCTTTCACCCCCTAGAGCCGCTCTCCAAAGCCTTCGTGCACTCCCCCGTGGTCCGCAGAGTAGGGCGGTGGCAGAGAGGGAGAGACGGTCCCAAACGGGGGTGTCAGCCCCGCGTGGCGATTTTGCCGAAACGTCGACTTTGCGGGTTTATGGCATGTTTACCGTTACTGAGCGTGCAGAGGCAAGTACCGGCTTACCAGGTGGCCCGCAGAAGTGGAGAATTTCCGCGGACATCAGGTAATAAGCCGGATTTGCCCTCTGGCTTGAATAGGCTATTGTTATCAAAGAACTTGTAGAAAAAACTTCTCAAAAGTAACGTCGCCTGGAATCCGTGCCGTAAACCTCTGTTGGTTAAACAAAGACTATAAACAGATACTCGAGCAGCACGCTCTACCATTAGGTCACCGGTTAATAGGTAGAAATATTATTATGCAGCAAGATAACGACTCTAAGTACTCATCTAAATTGTGTAAAGAGTTCTTATTGCAAAAAGAAACAGAGCAGGTCTTGAGGAATATGACATGGCCAGCACAATTACCGGATTTGAACCCGATAGAATTTTTGTAGGAAGAGCTCCATCAGAATATCCGGTTGCACTGTCCAACATCGAAAGGGCAACTACTATAAGAAGCATGGAAAAGTTTAAAGTTAGAAATACTGGAAAAACTAATTTCCAGGATGCCCAGAATATGTCAGGCTGTCATTAGAAGTTAGGGCGGTTTTTTTGATAAGAAGGCAATTTAAAGAAAAATATCTATTTCTTCGTACAAAAAATAATATAAAATGTAAAATATTCTACTTATAAGTATTTTGACAAATAAAACTTCCTCAATTATTTTGTAGGCGTTCAATTTTTCTTAGACATATCCTGTTTCTCTTATTTTACGTAGTGATTCCAAACTTTTGGCCGATAGTGTATATCTGTACGTTGAAAGTTGTACAACTTGCCTTATATGTATGTTTATAAAGTTCCTCACATTATCGTAATTGCCTAGTGCTATACGATTCAGAAGAATTGAATGTTATTGTTGATGTTTGCTCTAGCTGTCTAGCACACGGTCATGATGTGTATAATTCAAGGAACCACTTATCGGTTGGCTTCACAACCTAGCAGTATTCAACACTACAGTGAATAGTTACGCTGTGATCTAATAGCTTAATAAAATATAATTCATTATATTTAATAATATAATTCTCTTTTTGATAATAGTTCGTATTGCTGTTGGGTTCATATTAATACGTTGAACTTTGTTATTTTTTAATATGTTTGTAGCATAAAAATGAGTGTATGTCATAATTCATAATATCAATCTAAATCTAACCGTCTCACAGAGTAAACGTGTCTTGCTTTCTCGCTTTGTTTACATTCAACGAGTAACTGTCGGACACCCAAATCAACCGTCTTTATTTGAAATTTTTCGCTTCTATTAACTCATTTATTTGCTGCAATGGATCTTTTGTGCAATGGTTGTGGTAAACCGGTTGTTAAACCTACTAAGTGTAAAAGTTGTGGGATTGCCATACACCCTAGCTGCCTAAATCGGATAAACCACCTGGCCTCAAACGGTCAATTATTCGACTGCTCGATTCTATCACAGGCAAGCCGTTCGGACTCAATCGAAGATGATCACCTAATCGTAAGGATTCAAAACTTATTCCTTGCCAATTTGAGGTATTTTGTGCAGAAGTTAGGGAGTTAAAAGAATTATACAAAGCGGACATCGAGAAACTAACGCTTGATATGACCTCTCTTACTGAGAGGCTCTGCCAATTGGAATTGAAATCTTCACAGCTCCCCAGTCACTCTCTCTCAGAAGAATCGATCTTACAAGAGCTTGCTGACCGGAAATCTCGCTCACGAAATATCATTGTGAGTAACCTCGAAGAACAACCCCAACCTAACCATCCCCAGGATCTCGAGGGGATTCAAAGTATACTCAACAGCCTCTGCCCTGGCGACTATTCCACCATTAGAGTTAGTAGGATTGGAAAGAAGCAAAACGACCGTCACCGACTAGTGCGCGTCACCTTATCGACGAAGTCAGACGCCTTAACTATTCTTCGAAACAAGAACCGTTACTGTAGCGTCCCAAAACGCTGTTGTATTCCGCGGCTCGCGATTCCTTGCGTTGGTTTATTATATTCAATAGGTACGCGGTAGGAGAGCCTGACGGGAACTGGGGCGAAATAAGGGAGCTATTCTGCGCGTAGTACTATTCGACTTTATTAGACAGTTCGGTGACGTTCGGTGCGTGAAGACCACTAGACAAAAATCTGCTGTTTCGACGGAAAAGGTTTCTAGATATATCCCTAGATATATTCTCCGTAGGGGTTGGTCTCAGAGGTCAATGTAGGGAGAGGCGGTGAGGTCTAGGTTCAGCGATGAGTAAAAGTAAAGGATGATGTGGAGGTCTAGGTTTCGGGGTGACTAACGTTAGGATGATGCGGATTTGTTTACAGTTAAGGAAAGGAGGCAGGATGACTAAAAACTAATAAAAGATAGGAGAGAGGTATACGACACAATAAAAAAAGTAAAGCCCCGGAATTATATGAAGTTGCAGAAGTCGTTTTAGCAATTCCACCGACGCAAGTAAACGTGGAACATTTGTTTTCAGGATTGAAATTTATTTTATCGCCACATCGTTCGAAAATGATTAACGATATATTAATCATAAGATAGTTGTGCAAAATTAAAATTTCAATTCTCACGTATTAACACTCATATACAACACAACTCGTATATTAACATTTTTTTCAAACTCAATAAAGAATCAATCAAAATCCAAATCAAACATAGTAATGTATCATCTTACTGCATAAATATTTTATGTCCACTTTTTGTAAAATTTGAATTTTTATATGCAATAAATCATTCTTGACTGTTATCTATAGATACTGTATAGATATCACAAATATATCTGCTTTGTAAACGTATCAAAAATAATAATTTTATTTTTCTTGTATGACTTCGAATCTATTACTTCAGCGCATCTTTTTCGAAAACACTAAATTTGGACATACAATATTTGTGCAGTAAGCCACTGATACATATTATTTATCTGGGACGGTCTAGGGCAGCGGTAGGCAAAGCTACCGAAAGACGATGTGTGTGCGTGCGTGTGCGTGTGGGAGCGTGTGCATGGTGTGTCGGCGAGGCGCGAGACGAGCGGAAAAAATCAATTACATACATATTAAGTGGCCACCGAGTCGTTTGTACCTTTATTTTGTTCTTTCTCTATTTTATTATTAAAACTTTACAACGTTGACCCGTTGTTGCTCCCTTCTCCCTATTCACGTACTACATGTATTTTATATACGTACGTACGTAGAACCGAACTATACCCGATGCAGAACCAAAAAATATCAGTTGTAGAATTGTAGAACCGATACGGGACTAATATATTGTGGGTTTTGAAGAACCGAAACCGAAACCGATACAAGAACCGAAAAATAACAGTTATAAAACCGATACGGAACCGATATGTGCCAGAACCGATATATCTATGACAGTTATAACATTTTATCGGTTCTCGTAACTGTTTCAAGAACCGGAATCTGT